GAGGGGGAGGGGGAATGGGGCACCCTTCTTGTCCCTGCCTCCCGGAGGCCGCACCGGGCAGCCTTTCTCCTGGTCACTGCAGAGAGGCCGCATAGAGGCCGGCCTGCCTGTGCAGCGGGCGGCCGCGGGTGGGCCTGTCCACGCTCTCGGCCACCCGCAGGCGCACACGCGCAGTCCTGGTTATTGGTCCTGCCCGCGGTGAGCACAGCATGTTTCTCTCCCCGCGGGGAGGCAGGGCGGTTGCCACCCCATCTTCACAGAGGGGACAGGCTGGGCAGGGAGCGAACACCGTGGGCCTGGCCTCCCACTGTCTCTAAGACACAGCCTTCCTCCATTCAGCCAGAGCTTAGGGGGACATTCTGGGGAGTCAAATCTTCACCCTAAAGCTGTCCCACCATAGCAATCCTTCTGTAGACGGCCTATGCCAGAGGCTTGGGGCTAAGGATGGAGAGGCAGCAGCACAACCCCAAGGTGTGGGGCGGGGGAGGGGGTGCTCTGCGGTGCCTGGGAGGGGGGAGGAGGGGTCCCGCCACGCCTCCCCCCTTCAAGGTCAGGCAGCAGGCTGGGGATGCGGGGAAGCCAGGCGGGACCCCGCTTAGCAGGGCCCCGCAGCTTAGCAGGGCACCGAAGGGCAGAGTATTTGTGGAAAGCAATGAGGGCTAATTTTAGGAGCCATTAGCTTGCTATTTTTAAACATGGGCTGTCAGGACTTGCTAATTTAAGAAGTGAGGGTGAATGAGCCCCCAGCTCCCCCTCCTGCCCCCTGCGGGCATCAGGAGTAACGACTTTTCGGGTGGGCACCGTTCCCTGGACAAGCAGCCTTCCTAGAACACATCTCCCGGGAGCCGGGGGAGTGCTCCCGCGGGCTGTGTGCACAGGAAGTAGCCTGGCCGGAGCCAGCCACAGGTCAGGCTGGCCGTGTGTGTGTGTGTGTGTGTGTGTGTGTGTGTGTGTGTGTGCATTTGCTAGTGAGATATGGGTCTGAAACAAATATGATTGTAAGCGTCTGGGGGGGGGCGGACAGAATCCAGGGTGAATAAACGCCGGCCTCGCACGCATGGGTGCACGGTCCAGAAAGCAGGGCCCTGGCGGCTTTGCTTCCTTCCCTCTGAATGGGATTTAGGGCAAGTTTTGCAACAAGTGCTTCTGGGAAAGGGCACATTTGCAGCGGGCTGTCCTACAAGGGGGGAGGGAGGGGGGCTGGGGGGGTGCAGAGTGTCCCCCGGTGTCAAGGGTGCCTGACAAAAAGCTGGGTGAGCACAATAGCACCTCTAGTAGTTGCAGCTACTCAGAAGGTGGAGACTGGTGACACTGGTTTGATATCAGCCTTGGGGAGGGGGGCATGGGAGGGAGGGGAACAAGACCTCATCTCAACCAATTTAAAAAAAGCTGAGTGTAGTGACACACGCCTCTCATCCCAGCTGTGGAGGTGGCCTAGGTATCAGACTGCTGTCTAAGGCTGGCTCCAGGCACGACGAACATCTAGAACACAAAGTAGTAAAAAAAGAAAGGCTAGTAAACAAACGAATAAAAAGTGAAAAAGAAAGAAAGACGAATACAAATGAAGAAAATACAACATGCAAAGTAAAATGAGCACAAAGGTGATGGTTCCTGAGGTGGGCGAGCCGCAGGCCAGCGCCAGCAGATGCCCGACCTGTGCTGCCCGGCTGTAAACGAATGTGAAAATCTGTGAAGGGCAGCTAGGAAAAGCCCCACAGCGGCCCGTGACCCCGAGACTCGAGCTGGTTTTATGAGCACCAGCTCTGGAGGGTGAGTATGTTTTTCCATATAAACTTTTATGTCGTCTCTTTCTTCTATAGTCTGTGAGTTCCTTTTTTTTTTTTAAAGGAAACACACACACATACACACACATATATATATTAATTAAGAGTTCTTAGCAGGCAGTGGAGTTCACTTATTTTGCCTGCCTGCCAGTTTCATGTCCAAATGAAGCATCATCTGCTGGCAGTGGCAATCGCCGGTGGGGAGTGGCCCGGCCAACACTACGGATCTGATGTGCTGAGAGCCAGGGCATGCTCCCGCCTTCTGACTGCCCACTGTCCAATGTCCCTGCACACATTATCCTGTCTTCTGGCCTCCCTTCTCCCGCCCTGTGGGACAGTGTTCAGCCCTTGCCACCATTCAGCTTCTTGGATGGTTGTGGATGGGAAGCCAGGAGGATGTTGGATTCTCACCCTTCTATGCTTCTCAAGGCCTCCCTATTGGCTACTTGTAGTTGTTAGTCATCCCTCAGAGGTCTGCCCATTGGCTGTTTGTAGATGTCCCTCATCCCTCAGAGGTCTTCCCATTGGCTGTCCCTCATCCCTTGCAAACTGTCCTCGATTGTGGAAGCTGCCCACTGCCTACAACCCTGTCTACCTACCTGTTGAGTCCGTTGTAGGACATGGCTTCATTCTGGATTTGTCCTTCTAACTTTAACAGAACAAATGGAAGAGCTGCCTTGCAGTGGACAAGGCTACTGTCGCCTCAGAGAACACAGAGCGGCTTCAACGCTGGCATTCAGCGATTTCAAGGAAATCTCTGGTTCTAACACCTGTGTTTTCCCTGCCCCAAGCCACCACTTCTTGGTCCTTTAGATATTTCTTAAGTGCTCATTAGATATTTCCTAAGTGCTCATTAGATATTTCCTAAGTGCTCAAATTTGGGAACAAAGATAAACCCAAGGCTATTTGGGCTCATCTCCTTCAGTGAGTTTAGCAAAACCACCCAACAACAAAAGAGGAAAATAATGTTTGTGCTCTGTGGGAAAGAAATAACTGAGTAGCGCACTCTGGGGCCATGTTGGGGGCCTGGGTTTCTAATGAATGCATGAAGCAGCTGGGCTTCTTTTCTACAAGCTTAGGTGGGCTTGGCAGATGCTAGTTGAGCACATCTGGATGCACAAATAGATGTGAATTATGAAAAAAAACCATTGAGTAATACCTTGAAAAAATCATTTTGCATGAATTCAGGATGGGCTATTGTGTGGGTTTTTGGCTCTACAAATGAAGTTTCCTTCATCATGGTTCCAAATTTTCTGTAATTTTCCTTGGGTTACTTTTCAGACTGGCAGGCATCTATATTTTAAGTTTATAAGGAGGTTTTTGTTGTTATTATTTGCTATTCATACTTCTTTCCTGTAGCGTCTCCATGAGAGGTAGAGACAGGACAGTTAGATGATTAGAACTTACTTTGCACCACAGTAGTACACACCTCTATTTTTCATTACAAACTCTTCTAGGGGAAAGTCTTGATTTACTGAAAATGACAAAGTCAAGTCACTGTGAGCACAGAAATTCTAAAGCCTTTTCCAGGAGGTGTTAGCTCTCCTTCCAACTCATCTAGTTCCGTTAGAATTCTCTACAAATGTGGGAGCTCTGCATCTTTTAAAGGAAACAAATGGAATTTCCTTTAGCAAAATATTCATGGAGCTCTTTTCATAGCTATTTTTTACTCCCAAAATTGTTGCATAGAGTTTAGGATGTTAATTTTCATGTTTCATGGCTCAGATGACTAAAAAAAAAATCTGCCTTAGGAGAAAAAAGGTACTAGAAAATCTTCACCCCACAGGGTGACAGGGATCATTTCAAAAGGGTGGGTGAGGACCGGGAAGGTGGCTCAGTGGTAGAGTGCTTGCCAAGCATGAAGTCCTGGGTGCGATTCCTCTGCACCACAAACACAGAAAAAGCCGCAAGTGGCGCTGTAGCTCAGGAGGT